TGCGCAAAACTTCAATAGGAAAAGTAGATCTGCAGCGTGAAGGCGAGCCAAATCCTAACCTTCCAGGAAGCCGTCAAACAGGTGCATGAGGACAGGAAAAAGGAACGAGGGGATCGTAAGGGAAATGAAAAACCGATGGGGAAGCAGGTTCCACAGGGCAGCCCTGAGGCAAGGGAAACAGCTAGGGAGACTCGTCCGGAGCAGCGGAATACGAACAGCGGGAGTCCAGAGCCAAATTCGCGACTCCAGCGACCTATAGGGGGCGCCAGCACCAAACAAACATGGCGGCTGGGTCCAGGTCGCGTCGGCTGCCGGGCCGCCTGAATGGGTGGCGCATTCAATTTAACAGATTTTTCTTTTGTTTAATGCCCAATTTTATGGGTATTTGAACTGAGACGGTTAAGTGTAGCCGGTGCGCATAAACTTGCAGAGCATAGTTTTGTTTTGCCGGTGTTTTTTGTTCTTTTCTTGTCAAACTTTCGTTTCGGAGACTTCGTTCAAAACCGAAACTATGGGCTCCAGAGAAACGGTAATAGACTATAATTAGTTTCGATCATCTAAGCAAAGCGGCGATGGCTACAAAATTGTTCCACCGAGAGTAACTTTTAGCTAACTCGCATGCCTCGACCATGCGACTTATCTGTCCGCGAAATCGAGCTTTTGTGCGTGTCCGCGTTTCAAGAAACAGCTCCAGTCGCGTGCTCGGTCAAAAACACAGGTTGCAGGAAAATTACAAAAATTAAGCAAGCGCTTCTTGAGCCAAGGAGCATGTTAACCCGCTGGCGCCCCACTAAGCAGCTGATACTCGTATTTAAAATCAGGTTTTAGTAGCAATCGAGAAGTCATTTTGACGAATATGCGGATTATGTATTATATTACGTACTATGTCCCACTAAAGCGAGATTAGTATATTCTTCGGGGTGAAATATGAACTTAGTTAACTAACTATTAGGTGAACTGCTGAATAAAAGTATGTCTGACAGACAGAGAGATACTACTTAAACTTAGCCAAATGGTTCTAGCCGGTAGAACGGAGACGAATGCGGACAAACTGAGGAGAGTCGTCATCGGAGATTCACTCAGATTTCTCTGCAATGAACTTGACTTCGAATCCTGAACGGATAAAATGAGTATTTTTTGTGGCCGGCCAGCCTGAGCAATGTAGACGTATATTGCTGCTGGCTTCGACAGGGGTTATATTATAAATATTGTAGGCGCGATAGATTCTAATGTCGTGACAGCTTTTAACTTTGCGAGACGCGTCCCCCACTTTTGAAAGCAGAAAATTTCTCTCATTAATCATATGCAGTGAGCAGGCTTTCTGAATCAAGTAAGTGCGAAATCAGCCCAACTCCTTCAGTGGGGTCTTGTTCGGCGAAAAGCAGCTAAGATGAATAGCCAACGCACCGGCCGGCGTTAGTGGCTCAAACTTGAAGCTAATCGAGCACAACCAAACTGAAGAAAAGCAGCTATCGAACCTTCCCATTTTCTTGACTGCAACATTGGTGTTCCCTCCAGTGAAACACCTCGTCTGTCGACCTCAGTCCACTGTTCTACATCCTTATAAAGAAACCACTTATCAGTTACCAAGTAGTCGCCACTTTGAATGTGATTCGAGACAGACAAGAAATCAAAAAGATTTTCCGTGATTCCTCCCCATCCAAAAAAATGAAAGCACGCGACCGTGTGTTGTGGAGTAAACGGGCTTTCAAACACGTGATGGAAAGAAACAATCTACTGAGGCTTCACCACACTAATAAACACTCAGGCAAACTTAAGAAATTTTCGGACCTTCGTCAAATTACATTGCTCGCCCCCGCGCCGGCAGCACGTGTCGGCGAAAGCCACCAGAGACGCGGCGATGCGCGGAGCGACCTGGACCGACTGGTGCCCGGTTTTCCCGCTTGGCGGCGTCCGTTTTGCTGGAGTCGCGAATAGCAGCGGAACGCAAGGAAGGCCAGGAGGGGAACGCGACTACATCACTCTAAAACCGGTCTCTCATAAAAAACACTGTCCCTCTGATTTTAGAGGGAACTACGATACTTTCAGAGGGAAAGTTCTTTTTAAGAGGGAAATGGAAAAATAAAACAGCAACATCCAGTGGGTCACCAACATATTAAGAGAGACCAAGGAATCCGTTTCCTTTGTCCCTCTGAGTAGGGAAGACCGACAGAAAAATGCATGCTTGTCTTTTTATATTAAGAGGGGACTGGTCCTTCTTAACTGGACCAATGTAGTTCGGTCAAGAGGAGAGGTGCCGGCGCACTAATCCAGGACAAAGAGTTCAGACGGCGCTAAGGTTTGGCGCCAATTCACGGAGCTGGAAACGGTCGTGGCCGGAGAGTCGCAAGCGTCATGATGGTCGTTTGACTTCCTTCGGGTGAGTAATCCTGTTATACTGACGCTTTGTTTTGAGTACATTGTGGGTGAGAATAACGAGCCATCAATAGTTTCACTCTGGCTGTGAAATTTACGAGCTTTGCACATAGAGTGAGAGTTTTCAGTTTGACTGCAGCAGTCCGCGGTCGCTTCCTGCATGGATCTGCTCGTTCAGCTAGGACAAAGCGTCGCCCGTCGTTGGCCCTGCCGTGAGCCGCATGGCTGTCTTTTGCACAAAACACTTGTAACGGTATTGTTTGGGCTAGGGTGTCCCAATGTGTATGCTTCTCTCTTAGGCTGGGACCATTTTGTGTCCCACGCTTTTGTCTACTTTTTTTTCATTTCGAACGCGCGTTCGGTCTTCTCCCAGCTCGTGCTGCAAGTTTTGGGACTGCTACCCCGTCATTTCATAACCGACAATTTATTTGCTCTTTATTCGTAAGTGTGCATAGTCGGCATCGGGTACTACAAAGGATGGCATCAACCTCCCGAAGTCGAAGGGGAGATAAAGTTACCCGCTCGTCGGGCAGTCAGTGTTCGTAACCGTATATGGTAGACATTGTTAGCGTTGAAGAGGGTATCAACTTTTGCTTCAAGTGGGAGGCCAGCAAAAAGCTATAGTGTGTGTGTGTGTGTGTGTACGGGGGGGATGGAAGCGTCTAATTCAAATAAAATTTTAAAAAAAACTTATTTCGCGCGTTCGCTTTGCGTTGCCATGAGCGTTTAGTCCGGAACAGTCTTGTACACGTTACTCGAAAAAAGTAATCGATTACAATTACAATTACTCTTGGTTTAAAAGTATTCAATTAGATTACTAGATTACTTTCCAGAAAAAGTAATTGGGCATTACTTGAAAAAGAAATCGTTTCTTTTCCGATTACTTTTTCGTTACTTTTCCTAGTGCTCACGAAGCTTCGCACCGTGAGCACTCGGAACAATGAGAAACGGAATAAAAATCGGCTACTTTGAGGCACATCATATGAAGAGAAAGACACGTGTATATCAGGGGACGTTTATTTCATTTTAGATGCAACAGACACTTCTTATGTCTTGTTTAATTTAAGCAGAAGCTGGCGCTCGAAGTTGCAGTCGCTCATTTTCCCGCGTTTTCGGGTCAGGATGTCCGCTGCTACGCTAAACACCCTCTCCACAGGCGCGCTAGATGGCAGGGCAGTGTTAAACCTAATGAACACTTTTTGTAGGCGGGGGTACTCCTTCAGCATTTCCGTCGAACTGTCCGGAGAGCTGAGGTAGCGTGAGACTTCCCCACTGTCCCGGGTCGATCTTGGCGCCGAAAAAGCGAAGAAATCGTCAACAGGGGAACCTCCGCAGTCAGCGGGAGGTTCCTGTCCGCCGGTGGGCGATCCTCCGTAGCATGGGCGGTTCAGCTCGTCCATGAGCAGCTGAGCTAGCTCCTGCCGCTTGGCTTCGCCAAGAACCCAGCCGACTTTAAACCGGGGGAGCGCAATGGCTCCTAGCAACAGCTCCCGGTCGTTGATCAGGGGACCAAGCCTGTAAATAGAAAGTATCGCATCTGATAGGTTAACACAGTTCCGTCCCGCAAAAAGTGGAAGCAGATTATGCTTCTTCAGAAACTTACCGGTTCTGGATTCCATTAAGCAGTGCATTCACAAGCGGCGCGGAGAAAGCTAGGCCCGCCTGGAGAAGATGGCTGAGCCGCTGCTGGAGTACCGTGATCGTTGGCAGCAGGTACCCCATGAACATGAGTTCTCCTCTTTGAACCACGTCAATCGCACAGGCGAGGGGCTTCATGACCTGAAAATGCAATAGAGGGGAAGGTTAACAGTACGGATGTTTTGTTTACTGTATTGATACGCAGATCCCTCGTCATAAATTCAACCTCCTTTTGTGAAACGTAGAAATAACAGATATGGCACTCTCACCTTACAGTACTCTTCTATGAAGAGTAGGTCACGTGGACGCTGGAAGGGAGGAACTTGTAAGGTCCTGCATAACCCGTCGAAGTTTCTGCCCTCAGCATCCAACTTGTGCACGCACTCTAGCGCATCGTAGAGAGAGTTCCACCGCGTTGCTACGGGCCTTATTAATGCCTTCCCACAGAAGCGTCGGATGGTCTCGGCAGCAACCGCCGACTGTCCCTGCTTATTCCACAAGGCGCGGCATGTCCGCAAAACGGAGGGAAAAGGTCTCGAGAAGATTTCGTGACGCTCCGCTGCTCCGGTGTCGGTCGTAGCCACCGAATTTAGGGTGTGCGCAGCACATCTATGGTGAGGGGGGAGTCGGGCCTCTCCTTTGTCCACGTTTTCAAGCAGGGGTGCTACCTCCACGAACTCCAGGCCTTCATCGTCCTGCTCCGAAGGATCTAGGTCGTCAGACCCTGTGTTATAAATGAAGAAAATAATAGTTACCCAAAAGAACAACCTGCGTTTACTTTTTGAACGTTTGAACCACGACAACAAGCGGATACACTTTGCTGGTGGAATTTGAACGCTATATTGTATTCACAAAGTGGGTCTGCTTGTTGTCATAATCAGGTATATGCGTGGAATTGTACTGATGTGCTAAGCAAGCGCTTTTGCAATTCTATCAGTAATTTTGGTCAATAAATAACAGGCCGCTATTACTGTATGCGGCAAATATTACCTGAAGGCTTTTACAAAATTGGATCCATTGTCGGTCACGACCTTGGTGACTTTTCCTTCAAGGCCGTACTCCTTGAAAACCTCCAGAAGAAGGTCTGCAATCTTGTCGTGCGTGACGCTGCCCGTCATTCTTTGGCAGATCAGTACTGCAGAGTTCCTCTTCAGGGAAGCCGGCTCGAGCCAAGAAACTGTCGCTGCCAGATAGCACCTGCGAAAAAAAAAAAAATATTTTGTATAAACTGTACTGCGAAAACAAGAACCCGCCAGCTTAATCGCCAGTAGACAATACTGGTATTGTCTGAACATTAAGGTCATATTATGTCTCTTAAACTAGTTACGTATTTTAGCAGTATCAGCGCTTTTATATCACCGAATTTAATAATAATCAAAAAAAAGTTTCCGCGACAACTCACCTTCTTGGTTTTTTTTTTTTTTTAAGTGAACATAATTTAATTGAATTGAATTTATTTCAGCCGCACTGTGCCGAGGACGCCGGACAAAAAGCTTAAATGAGGAGACTTTTATAGTTAAATACAGAGACCAGCAAATACAAACCCACGCATATAGCTTTGAAACGAACATTCTGGATATGCGACAAGAACGTACAAGGAATACACGATGTTATCTTAAAGAGGCTTACCGTCGGAACGATGTCCAGCAGTCGGCGGTCGCAGTGACGCAAGGAACCTCGTCGAAAGCTTTCCGCAGGCTTGTCTTCATTTCTTCGTATCTCTCGTCGATTCTCGCCATCAGCATTCTCCGTGTTGGTACCGTGTTTTCAGGGGCCAAGGTATCCACAAGTTTAACGAAACTGGGAGCCTCGACGACAGAGAAAGGTTGCAGGGAATCTACAACAAAATTCACAATCAGGCTGTCCAGCTGCTTTTGAGGCACCCGCCCGCTTGCAAAGTTGAGGGTAAGTTGTTTCGGCGTGGACGTCGAAGCAGCTCCAGACAGCTTCCGTTTCCGCGAAGAGTTCCCAAAGTCAGCCAGATTCCCGGGGTGTTGACTCTAAAAGAACGATTGTGGTTAATACATAAATTTAAAAAAAAAAACACATACTGCGGACATGCACGGCTAATAAAACATACCTTTACGTGCTTCCGCAGGTTCGAGTTCGTCACCATGGAACAAGACAGGAGCTTTTCTTTAGGCTTACAAAGTAAACACTGAAATGTGAGGTTGCCATCACCTCGCTTTTCCTTCAGCACAAACAAGCTTGCCAGCTGCGGCCACGGAGACACGGCGTCACCGACCTCCCTAGCATGAGCCATCTCTGTATAAAACACGACTGAAACATCGTGTTTTATAGCCGTAAAATTTCTAAGTTCCGAGCTATTCACCCGGGAACGCTTTCATCCCTCCTTGGTTGTAACAGAAGCGCTGGACTACTCATAATCTCGATCCACCCTTTCCGGATTCCCGTATTCAGGCTTTCTGGGTGTGATAATGCATGGGCGTGGTAGAGCGAGCTCGAATATTTCTTGAAGTGCGTGTTTGCGCTCTTTGTGGCTTATTGCTCTAAGTTAGTACAAAGAAGCAGCTTCTCCCCTTTTCTTCCGTGTGGCGCCTTTTCTTTCCTGGAGTTTCCCACTAAGATAATGATCCGGCAGCGGCTGTCACTTCTGCCAAAGGATACGAATTCTTAGAGCTCACATTTATAGTCACACCTTAGCATTTACATTACATGGCTTTGGTTATCTTGGAGGCAGAAGAGTGTAGAGAGTTAATGGAGACAAACATTCTACATTAACCATCGAACTTCGCACTGAAAGGCTTTTGTCAAGAATCCGAACCTGACAGACCGAGTCGAAATCCAAGTTCCAACAAACCACTCTGCGAACTGTCCAGACAAAGAGCATGACCTCCTTTCGTAGAGCTCGACAACAATGCCTTTATTCTCTCGGATCCCAAAAGCTTAGAAGCTGATAAAGTGGAGATGTCTCGTGTCTCGTGACTAGGTTGGCCGAAGGGGGGGGGGGTTAGGAAAAAAGTAATGATTACAAGTAATTCCATTACTTTCAAAAGTAATCAAATTACTCTTGTGATTACTACAAAACAAAAGTAATCAAATGAATACAGAATTACTTCAAAAAGTAATCAATTACAAGTAATTTGATTACTTGGAATCAGTACCGTACAAGTCTCGTCCGGAACGACGCGACTGTCTGCTTAAAGAGGGGAAGGGAGCAGCGGTAACCCCGGGAGCGCGTGTTTCCTTTTTTCTTTCCTGGAATGTTTGTTTTTTGTTCATTATATTTTGACGGTCGCGGCGGCAAAGCTACCGGTCTCTTTTTTTTTTTTTTTTTTCGGCGCCGACCATGCTTTTGTTTTGGAGATTTTATGCCTGTTGTTTGTTTTCGGCTTTGCTTTCTGTGGCTGGTTGAATTTCTTTTTTCTGTGTCGCAAACGAGCAAAAAATATAGACGAAAGATTGCGTTTTTTTTTTTTTGTATTTCCAAGCGTTTTAGGGCTAGGTTGACAAGGGCCGTTAAGTGACCGTTACAAATCTTGTTTTCAGAGTGGGGCAATGACTGCGAACGTTGACATGAGGGGAATAAGTCGGGGGTTCTGCACGGAATGCTCATGTAAAGAGTTCTACCGGGACCCTGTGCACTGTGGAACGCACCACCCGGAGTGGTGTGCTTACTGCGGCCGGGCGGCGGAGAAAAGCTCACCGGAGAAAAGCTCACCGGAGATAAGCTCACCGGAGAAAAGCTCACCGCAAAACCGGCAGATGCGGAGAAAAGCTCACCGATATTTTCTTAGCTTAGCTTGATTCTGTGTCAAACTTGGCAATTTAACACAATTCGCATTCGTCACTTCATTAAAAATATGTCCTCGTTTTTGTAATATTCTTGAGGTTCATTGGGCATATTTACTATTTCATCAGAAATTAGTAATCACCCATTCTGTAAATTATTGAAGCCGCAAGTATAAAATCAGAATATCGTACACCGGTAAAAAAGGCAACAATTTATTGACAGCTGAGGGTGCGCCGTCGGTACTTCTGTCAGATAAAGAGGTTTGTTTTTTGCGAGCCAATATGAATAGCAGTGTGTGAATCGCTTGAGGTCCAAATATTCTGTAGTGCCTAATAAATAAGTAGATGTTTGTTAATGTCATCAGTGTCGGCTACGCTGTTTTCTTTTTGTTAATTTCACTAACAATACTTTAGTTGCGAGAACAACTTCGTCCTGTCGTGTTTGTTGTCTTCACTCCGTCGTCGTCGTTTGAGCGGTTTTCAATAGGTATAACGTTTACCAACTCTCCCAATTCGCTACCTACCTTACAAAAAAAATAGTTCTTACATAGCTCACGAGTAACAACGGTGACATTGTGCAGCTCTGAGGGTCATGGGTGGCTCACCGTAGAAGGCGCTATCACACAAAGGGAACGTGTGGAAACACCATGCAGCACGAACGGCTAGAAATCGTGCATGTCCGTGGAAGCACGAACGGCTAGAAAGCGTGCATGTCCGTGGAAAAAAAGAAGCCTCGATATCCTATTCACAGCTTTATCCTGCTTTCAAATGTTAACAAAAGCTTCAAAGAGAATTTCAGGCACCGCGTTGTTGCGCATGCACTTTTGGATTTTCGGCATTTACACCTTTGATTTTTAGGTTTTAGGCAGTCATCATTACGTTTTTTTTTAACTTTTTTCTGTTTTTAAGTTTATAGAGATTTTAGTTAGCCTTTCATTGCATAAAAAGCCACAAAACACACTGTCCCGCAATTATTAATTTGGGAGCAATATACCCAATAAGCTTAACAAATATTACAAAAGAGGACATTTTATTTTTTACAAAGCTGACAAATTTTAATGATAATAAATTGATATATGTTACGCTCGATCCAACAGCCTCTATATAAAAAGAAGAAAAAATATCGGTGAGCAAATGTTCTCCGCATACGCTCAATGGCCGGTGAGCTTTTCTCCGCATCCGCCGGTTTTGCGGTGAGCTTTTCTCCGGTGAGCTTATCTCCGGTGAGCTTTTCTCCGGTGAGCTTTTCTCCGGTGAGCTTTTCTCCGGGATTCACTGCGGCCACCCGCCCACCGCTCACAACGAACTCGGTGAGTATGAACTTTTTATATTCTGGTATGTATGTAGGCTCCATTCACGTTCTGTTAGCATAAACGTTGTTTCTGAGAAAAAAAAATAATAAACGAATGAATTGCATAATTGATTTTGTTGCTTTCTAAAAAAAAAAATGCACCAGATCTTTTCTGCAGCTTCCAGCCGAAAATAAAATCCATGTTTTCCAAGGCACATGGGTCTTCTCATGTTCCGCTACTACTAAGTGTGTTTTCGTTTTGTCTTGGTAATACAAAAACGATTTTCGTAAAATACTTAAAATAGCAGTCAATTCTCGTGTCAAATATCAACAGTCGCAGAAGTTACGTCATGAGCTAATGCCACTCGCTATTTTATCGTATAAACTAAAGCGTAATATGTTCAGGCCAGTGCTAAAATTTTGTTTAAAAATATATTGCTTGTTTCCCACAGGAATTACCACGTTTTTTTGCGTTTTTTAAATGAAAAAATTATAAACATATCCAACGCTATCTCTGCATAACGTAGCGCAAGCAGCCCTAACCGAATCCCGGACAAAAGCTCACCGGACAAAAGCTCACCGGCAGAAGCTCACCGGACAAAAGCTCACCGGACAAAACCTCACCCATTTTTCAACAGACCCGGACAAAAGCTCACCAAGAGAAAATTTCGTGTTGGTCTTACAGAGAAACCAAGTTTAGAAAAAAAGGCGATGAGCCTCCTTTTAGCGAATTCGGCCACCGCGAAGCGGCGTGTACGGATAAGTCAGTGAGTAAACATTTTTGTAATGAGCCGCCGCAGACTGTCGCCGCGAAGCGGTGGGAGTAGAGTGCCTTCATGCGCGCTTCATGAAGGCTCCCTAGGTGGGAGCTTGGGTTAACACGTAAGCAGGGGGCTTGGGTTAACACGCGCACCAGTGATACACGCGTGAAGTAGAAAAACCTTTTTTAAATAGCGTGCCCTTTTCGATAAACGGCATATCTCTAAACTGAGGCTCTGCCTTCATGCGCGCTTCATGAAGGCTCCCTAGGTGGGAGCTTGTGTTAACACGTAAGCAGGGGGCTTGGGTTAACACGCGCACCAGTGATACACGCGTGAAGTAGAAAAACCTTTTTTAAATAGCGTGCCCTTTTCGATAAACGGCATATCTCTAAACTGAGGCTCTGCTTTCTCTAAACCGGGCTTCAATAAAACGTCCCCGTTCTCTAAAAAATGTTTCGACGAAATGGCATTCGATCAACCGTGCTAAACCCTTGCGTGAGATGAGGTACAAGTTCACCTAAAAATGGTGCAATGTCCATCGCGTCCGCATTTTATTTCAGCCCGTGTTTCGCCCGGGTAGCGAAACAAAATCAGGTGAGCTCTTGTCCGGGTCTGTGAAAAAACGGGTGAGCTTTTGTCCGGTGAGCTTTTGTCCGGTGAGCTTTTGTCCGGTTACCGCCCTAACCACAGGTCAATATTTCACAACGAACTGTTACCATATTGGCATATTCAAAGGCATGTGATTGTCTGAAACCTTCAATGGGAAACTAGGGCCCTTTCGTGGTACTTGACACCATTCATCCCCACCTACTCATGGGCAGCGGCATAGCCAAGGGAAGGAAAGGGGGGGGGGGCGGGGATCTTAGTTTTGCGCCGCAGCATAGTGCCAACCCCTCCCCCCCCCCCCCCCCCCACGCACGCAGACACACACACTTTGGCATCATGGAGGTTCCCAGCGTTTCAGCAATCCCCCCCCCCCCTCAATTCGAAAAACATTCCTTGCTACGTCACTGCACGTGGGGCTCCGTCTGTCACCATTTTTCCATCGAAAATTTCCGGAAATCTCCTCTATGTTTTCAATCGAAAAACAGCAAGCTCTGACACATTGGCATCTGGCGGAAAGTTTATGTGGAGATTAAGCGTTCAGCAATGCGTAGTTTATTTCTGCGGTGAAAATAGCATAGTGTTTTTTATGGACGTTCTGCCGAATCTCCAATATTAAAGTTTCCTTCCCAGGAAAGCTTGACAACGTTCAGGAGAGACCTTTTCAGGCAGACCTACTTTTAATATTGAAAATTATTTTCTGTTATCTCATCTCTGTTATAATTTTACCCGAACATGTTCTCAGGTTTGCTTAAAACTTCATATCATCGATTGACCAATATTTCAAATTCTGATCTTAAAAATGCAACACCAAAATAGAGAGTGCAAAAGAGGAGTCCCGAACGCCTAAAACGCTTGTGCACTGAAACGTTTAATCTACCAAGCAGCATTCACATGTTACCTCAGCCGTTAGCATGCACAATTACGCATCCAACTCTTAAAAGCTTTCACAATACATTTTTAGAAACAATTGGTGAGGTAACATGTGTTGACGTTGACGTCCCAGGAGGTAGTGCAGAACACGCCCTTACTTCCGAAAAAATGGATGAAGATAACGAGAGTAATGGAACCTGAATATAACACATCATTGTTTTACTCTCTTTATCTATGATATTCCGCAATATGGCAACGATGAAATAATTGTTCTAAGGCCGTTATGACAAGTGGCATTACTGCTTAAAGCATGGAGAAGTATGCAGTGTTACCAAAATTGCTTCTATTTTGATCATCTTTTTTTTTCACTTTTTTTTTTCAGAGGCCATGGCGGTCGGGGGTGTAGGCCCGTTTGTCATGTGCGGATTCGTCATCGGCCAACTGGTAATAGGCCCGTTCGTCACAGCGGAACATTCGTCATAGGGGAATTTGTCACTAGGAAAGTTTGTCACTGTGCGAACCGGATATTCGAATTTGCCCAACTTAATTCACTTGGCTTTGCATGCAATAAAAATTAGTACGTTATATTTTATTTTACTGAAGAGAGGGAACATCCAAACAAGTCACCGTTGTACTTAGAAAACAACAGGTTTATTGAGCGAAATAAAAACAATTTAAAATGCGATATTCCGAGCTGCCGCCCTCGAGGTTTCAAGATTGCGACCATCGTAGCGGCTCACAATGATCTGAAGACGCCGGCTACAGTCGGCGTCCTTCTTCGACACCCTCGAAGATGTCGCGCCTCCCTCTGCTTGAGCCAGCTTCATCTCTGTCAAGGACTGCTCTTCCTTGATGCAGACCAGGAAGCGCAAATATTGGGAAAACTGCAGCCCACGTTGCTCTGGCATAAAAAAAAAAGGACACACACACTCGTGAAGGAAGTTTTTTGGGTGGGCACCGTACTGAAATTTTGAGCATTTCAGCACAAATGCCAAAATGTGCTACAGAAAACTTCCAAGTTCTCAGAGGATTAGGTCAGGTCTTACGTGCAGTCCCCGTGTTGTTCGTTTTTGGTATTTCTGCTAGTGTTGATTCCCTGACTGACCAAACCAGAGGAGGGAAGGTGGCCGATGACAAGCCGTTTCGATGGGGTCTCCCGATATGCACGTCCTCGAAGTAGGCCGCCACGAGTGAGGCATCGGTGGGGAAAACCTCGGGAAGGTTCTGGAAGGCCTCGGGAATGTCGGCGATTAGCAAGAAGCCAATGCTGGAAGCATTCTCATATGAACATCCACAAGAAATCAAGTAACCATCTGGCTTAACTGAGGACAACAATAAGGCATATAAATAGAATTCCGCATACCAGAACAGCAAACTCTTTATCCGAATTGTAGCGACTCTGGTGACCACTGGAGCACATTTTCCTGTACACCGACTGGGATAAGTGAAAAAAGCATCCCTGTATCCTAACGCCGGCAATCAAGACTTGTATCGCGTTGATGGCCGCTATCTCGAAGTCCGTGTAAGCCACCTCAAGGCAGTTGGACCCCATGTGAATCAGCTCGACGTCGAAAAACCTTAAAAAGAGCGAACATATTTTGAATTACTTGAACACATATCCAATAATAGGGCCACTCAGCGTTTCGTTTTATGCGTTTATTAGAGCTCTTGAATGCTTAACTTCTGTAGGTGGCTTCAGATTTGTTGGGCAGCAAGCCGTAAACCATTTGCACTACCACGCCATTGACTGTGGCATGCACCATGTACAGTTGGTAAAACTGTGCCGGGGTGACTTTAAAGGTCCCGTCCGCGAACCACGTAGTCGCCTTAGCCAGACAGCTCGAGTTGCGCTCGCTAGCAAAGATCAGGATTCTTTCGCTGTCGCCCTCTCCGCTGTCGTGGAGGAAAAAGGAATCCCCTTTGGCTGTGGTGTGCATAGAGATAAAACAGTCATTATTATATGTCACGCACTGTGATTTTGCGCTGTAATACACTTTACCTTAAACTCTGTGGGGCATTCGTATGCCGGCTCTGCAAGATGGTGCGTTGTACTCGAAATTAACTTGCTGCCTTTCCTCCGAAGTGCGCCGAAGTGTTGACGGTGCGGGAATCTGCGATGCAGTGCCGTCACTGACACAGGCAGCCGCATCCAGAAGTCTTTGGTGCGGTGCCAGACGGCCTTCCACTGGAATAAAGAAGGACGTTAGTGAACTTGTTCTGCGAATATAAGAGCAGGAACACATTCTGGTACATACCAGCCTTTTCCTTCATCTGATGACGAACCCGAAGCACGTTTATCTCGGGGGTCATCGGCGTGCGTATGGTGACTGGAATAAGAGATTACACGAGTCTTGGCGTGATCGGTAACTATCTTAGTTCTACAAACTCCCCTTCGCCGGCAGGCCCAATACAACGTAGTTTCGTCAACCTTAATGCAAGTGCAGGAATGTCCTTCGTGAAGAAGCATATCGCCACCTCTCCTAGTAGTAACAACCTCCACTCAGGAATCGAGAATGAGATGGGAAGCAAAAGAGATCCGTCTTTTATAATCCAAGAGCAACCGGCATGGTAAGCCCAGTAGCGGGGTACACAAAAAAAAAAAGGAATGGCCTTTGGTGGGTTTTTTCTTATTGTGAATTTAATGTACTCTAAGTTCTTTCGTTAGTAAGGCGACCCAGATAAGACAACATGCAGGCTAAAGGCTGCATGTTGCCTTATCTTGGAGTCATTTCGTTCCCATTCGTACAGTAGTCAACCTCACTGACCTTGTACGGATTTGGTTGGGTGACCCCTTTCCTAACTTCTTTAAGAAAACAAAATAGAAAAAAAAAACTTTCCCCTTCCGAAACTTTCCTAAGAAAACAAAATATATATATAAGAAAAGTTTAACGATCCTGGGGTCCAGGCACTTAGCCAGGATTTTGTTTCGGGGGGGGGGGGGGGGGGGGGAGGGGGCGGTTTATGACAAAATGCTGTATGAGGGGGAGGGGGGAGACGAGGTCCCAGCGAAATGGAATTTGGGGGATGGCGGGCCCCATGTCCCCCCCCCCCCCCCCCCGGCTACGTGCCTGCTGGGGTCATTGAGTGACGAACTGCCAGCGTGACGAATCATCCGATGACGAATGTTCCGCTGTGGCCAACGTGCCTGTTACCAGTTGCCCTATGACGAATCGACATGTGACGAATGGGCCGTATCCCGGCGGTCGGAACCTCCGAAATGGGAATGCAGAGATCACCCGAAAGGACATCAAGGATTGAAATGCCCACGGCTTCCACAACGCAAGTAATTCATCGTTGCACACCTTGCAAGTTTGAATCAAAATTTTATGCCAGATTTGCCGAGCATGTCCGACGTAATCATTGCAATGAACGCATACCATGTGGAATATGTCATTCTATGTTTTCAAACCTCACTTGCTACAAAGCGCACGTGAGTGTGTGCACAGGCGCATTTGCACCTCAGCCGGAGCTCAGCCAAAATTGTCCTTCCCCCCAGAACTCGTATGTTTCCGTGGATGAGCGACCAACCACTGCCGAGGCCAGCAAGGACAATGTACCGATATCGAACGAGGGGAAGCTCTCGAATCTGTTTAGAATGCTCGAGGGAAAACATAGGTGCACAAAAAAAAAAAAAACTATTGACGATGTTGTCTCTTGGGTATCAGAGATCTACACGTTGAATGACATTTCTTTAGACACATCTAGCTTGCACTCTGATAAAACCAGGAAAGTGTGCATCGCACAGAAAGGAATCTACATCCCTCCGGTTGTTGTGAGCTTTCCAAGCGGCAGAAAAGGGTATTACATCCCATTGAATAGTCTGATATCAAGCCTCATGAAGCACCCAGAGTTTCTACCTCATTTCAAAAGAGCTCAAACTGGCACGGTGCAGGGTGGTGTCTTGAGAGACATGAAGGACGGCATCAGGCCACGATCACATCCCGTTCTAAAAAAAACACGCGTCAAATGTCCTCACCATGGTCATCTACAGTGATGACATTGAAATTGCAAATCCGTTAGGCATGAAACATTGCAATATGGGGAAACTCACTGTCTTCTACATTATGTTTACAAACTTGCCACCATCTGAACGGTCTAATTTGCACAAAATCTTCTTACTGGGCGTGGGCCTTTCTAAAGACATAAAGACACTGGAAGGAAAAGCGGCCATTCTGCGTGACGTCACGGACACTACCAACACGCTTGCAGACGACGGAATTAGGTTTGACACTTGCGATAACGAAGAGGTATTTCATGGCTGCATTCTTGCCTATGCTGGTGACGCCCTTGCATGCAACAATATCGCTGGGTTCAAGGAGAGCTTCGCGCCGACAGTTCACCACAGTTGCCGCAGTTGTAATTTGACTTCGGCTGAGTTCCCCGGCTGCTTGTATCATGGAGAATGCCCACTACGTTCTGATGAACAAATAAAAGCTCAGGTCACAAAGCTTGAAAATGCGAGCTCTGCGGCGGAACGCAGTGCTCTGTCCACTATGACAGGCATCAATGGGCGGTCAGTGCTAGCAGAATTGAGACACTTTTCACTAACACGTGATTTTTTGTGTGATCCATCTCACATTCTCATGGAGGGCATTATTCCCAAAGAAATTCACTTGTTTCTATTTTGCGCGATTCGCACAGAACGATGGTTTTCTAGGAAGCAGTTAAATAAAGCTATCTCGCGTTTTGATTTTCATGAGTCAATAAGTAAGAGCGACTACCCACGTTGGTTCGAAGCCCAGCTGAATGTTGTATCATCGGGGAGTGGATCCCTTATTCTCCTTCTCCACTTGCCGTTGATTTTAAGGTATCTTGTTCCCTCTGGTGATGTACCTCAGCTACGCTGCTTGGCTTTGTTGTGTCAGATAACACTGATGGTTATTTCTCCTTGCGTAACGGCGGAGAGTTTTACAGACGTGGAATATCTAGTAGCTGAGCACCAGAAGCTGTACGTGGAGTGTTTCGGTAAGGGCGCATTCATTCCCAAGCTGCATATGCTTGTTCACCTGGTTGAACAAATTCGCCAGTTTGGTCCAGCTAGGCATCATTGGACAATGCGGTATGAAGGAAAAAACGCACTACCGAAGTCCAAAAAGTTCTTCAACTTCCGAAACATCCCATTATCTGGAAGTGAAATGTTCCAGCTTAATCAATCATATGGGCTTTGGAATGGAGATGGAACTGCAAATCTTTAAAGTGATGATTTGGCCGGAGAAGAACTTGGGTGCCAGGTAACACTTACTGAAGCGTATGTTGATGCTGGCTCGGAAGAGGAATGTGTTGGAGAGATTGCCCATGCTGTTAATCTTGCTGTGGTGAACAACACTAAAATCAGAGTGTTTGATATCCTAATTACTGGGGAGTGTGGGAAATCACCCGTGTTTGTCAAGGTTCTGCAGATTGTCCAGTGGGGCGGAAATGTTTTCTTTTGTTGTAGACTGCTTTGTACCTTGCAATTTTCAGAAAAGTTAAATGCTTTTGTTGTTCGTGAAACGTGCCACCGAAAGGTTTTCCCATCTGCAAGTTTTCGCTTTCCGTGGCCATTTTATGCTTACAATACTTCTGACCATGGTTTATGTTGCATTGCCCGTTGTCTTGACTTCTGCCCTCTGAAGTGGTTCTGTGAGGCGTATCTGTGCGTTTTGCTTAACATTACCATGCTTTGCCAAGAGAAAAATAAATAATGGTTCTTTCCTCACCTCCCTTCTATCCTTGTCTGGTTTTTGCTTTCAGCCATCTGGCGCAGCTTTGAAACCCTGGACGGACCTACCAGAGTTCTCACGTGTTGTAATGCCTCTCCTCACGGGAGAGTGTCTGACGGCAAAGGAACATAAGAGGCTGAGTGAGTAGCTTCGGGATGAGATCATTGAAGTTCTCGAGTAAGCATTTGTGTATGGGCAATATGAAATGGTCGACGCTGCCTATTGTTTTACTTTCATTCGTGTCTCATACGGTAAACAAATGGTGTATTTTTACAGAACTTGTTCTTTTGTAAGTTTAAACTGTGTCAAAATAGAATGCTCGTTCACCCAAAATAGACTAAACGTTGAAAGAATATATAAATTAAAAATTGCATTAGCGCACGGGTCTTGATTTCCCATAACGTAGCTGGTGCAAGTTGGTACCATGTTCAATAAATAGGTTTGAAGCTATATTTACCTCCTGCAACCGGTATCGCAGTAGTCAAGAGCTGATCGTGGATGAGCATTCCACAGTGCTGAGGTGGAAGTACTGTGACCTTGGGAAGGCATTGTCAGAGAGGTTCCCCGACATCCTGTGGGAAACCTCCAAGCCGGGAACAAAACAAAGTATGACGCGGGGGAAGAACATTTGGGTAAGCCTAGCGAATTTGCTCTAAGAGTTGAACTCCTCCCTACAGCAGTTTGTGTTTACCTACAATTTTAGCAATATCAGGCTAGTGACGCACCTATTTTATTTTTCAGGCAGTGTTCACACACCGGCTGAGCATGACTCGCAAAAAAAGGAGACAAAGGAGAGCGACAAAAAAGAAAAATGACAGCAACATGTTAAGAGCAGTGCCAGCAACTGCAACCATCTCCACTGAGGAGGCATCTGCTGAGCTTGATGTACGTTTATTTTCTCGCGTGTTTCGTGTTTGTAAACCACAATTTTGATACAGGTCCTGAATTCCTTCGGCGAAAACCTTGGGGCCATCGATATAACAAGAGTGGTGGTGTTGTTGAAGGCGACAATCGAAAGAAGAAATTCCGTTGCACTTGATGCCTTGCCGAACTACTTTTGTCAAGAGGAAGTGGTAAGTTTGAAGGACACTTTAGTTAGGCAACGCTATATAGTGCATACAGGCGCTCCTCTTCAGGGATAAAGTCGCGCGTGCAAGGTTGAGAGTTCACTGACAATCTACATCCACGCACAACAGAGCGACATACCTTCATTCGGACTTCTTCTCTGTGGTCCCCAAGTGGTTTAAATGCCAGAACCTATGTTTCGAATGCCAGCCCCAGTTTGACCGAGGGAATATTTGAACACTTTCAAGGGCTCTAAAGAAGCATGGTCGGCTTTTCACTACCTTGTTGTCCGCTGTAGGATACTTTAAGTTTGGTTGACTACAATTTTGAGCAAACCTCGTTCTCTGCAAACTTCGAACGTTATGGCAAAAACAACGTATGTTTGTTTTATATAATATATTTTTTTAATTAAAGTTTTACAAAATTACACTAAGCCCTGGTCAAGATCAAACCTCATAAAATTGTTTTTTGTGCGAGTTTGTACTCGCACGAAAAACAATTTTACGAGGTTTGATCTTGACCTGGGCTTAAAGGAGCTGTGCAACGATATTTAATTGGAATGTTTTTCACTTGACACGAGCTTACTGACACACCTGGGACTCAAGGATACTCACACGCAACGCCACTGGCCAAGAAACTCCTTTGTTGCGGTGTAATTTCAAGGACAAAAGCGATCATTTTCCTTCAATCTCTCCTTTGCAAAATTTGATGACGTAACGTGGGG